AAAAAGATAGTAACAAAATTGAAAAATGAGTGCTGTGTATAATGATACGTAGTTTGACTTATGAGGGCACATAAATCTGAACTTATACATAATTTACTATAAACGTGTAGTTTTTGGTAAAACTGTTCATAAGTTGTTTAATGAAAATCACTTGTTAAGATGATGACACTTAAAAGTAGGTAAACTGAGAAATTAATGATTAATCCAGTTCGACCAGACATTTGCGATCCATGTGTATTATTTGACTTTAAACTTTAAAGAGACCGCCTACTTTATCTCCCATGCAAATGCTCACCGAGACATCACACGATTGCCTTATTCTCCTATCCAATGTAGTCGGTCCGAATAGAGCATGCCAAGACACAAGGAGAAAAAGGTGAATAATCATATCTGACACAACCATATTTATATAACAACAAAAAGTTTTAACCCTAAATAGTAAAAAAAAAAAAACTATTGTTACTATAACTCTAACTTTGCATATGACTCTTAAACTTTGCAGATAAACTACCCAACCATAAAACCTTTAGTAGAAGTCAGTGGGTCCAATGCCCCAATTCCATGTATTGGGAATCTCCTTTTTAGCCAAAGTGGATGGGACTTGAAGAAGACTTGCCCACTTTTTCAAATTATGGAGGTTACAACCGAAACTTATGATCATTGCAATTCTATATACCTCTTAAAAAAAAAACTTATGATCATTGTATAGATCATAATAATGAATAAAAAGCCTATATAGCTTATTGGTTAAAAGATTTAGTTTGCGGTTGGAGAATTATGATTTTTTTTAATTGCGGTTTCAATCATTGTTGGCCACTATATATGGTTATTATGTACATCTTAAATAACAAGAATTTTAGGCTCACTTTGAGAATTAATCTGGATTTTGACAACAATAATTTCCCATTTTGGATTCATGCAACGGTTAAATTACCAATTTCGTATTTTATATAAATATGTACAAGTCCTTATTTGACAAACAGTAATATTATCGTAGGTTCGTGTATCAGCCAAAAAAAACTAAAAAAGAAGCAGTTTTAAAGGTCATGTCAACTTCGATTTTAGTTAGTGCTCAATTAAAGGAAATCCACGCAGGCGTTTCAGTAGATTTTCTTGATGCTGCTATATCCACATCGTTTTTATGAATTGTTGCCATATCATGATATAACTTAGTTTATATACATATGACATATCCAATTTATTTTACTCATAGACACGCTCACATGTGTAAAAAAATTGATGGGTAAAATCATCGAGTCATCAAAAATTAAAACTATGCTTGTTATAGCTTTTATTCATCGAGTCATCAAAAAGAACAAAATTTCATCGAGTCATCAAAAAGAACAAAATTTCAGCTGAAACACCAAAAAATAGAAAGTTATGTGCACGAGCATATGGGTAAAATCTAAAAAGAGATCTCAATTGATACTTAACACGAATGTGACTAAACATTTTTGATGGTTTAAATCACCTATACTTAACATATATAGAAACACTAAATTATATTTGGTGATTTAGATGTCTGACATGCACGATGATTAGATCCATTGGAATTAATTATAAACTATCTTAGATTCAAATTTGTGTTGGTTAGACACTTAGACGTAGTTTATTCGTTTAGGTTTAATGATTTCACTTAACACTTTATATTCAAGATTTTATTTAGATTTCGGTGATATATAAAAGGTAAATCTAGCAGCACTAAACAATAAACATATTCTACTATAATGAAACACCAATAAAAATATCAACACCATCAAGTCTTTAAATATTCTCTCTTAATTCTTATCAAAAGAAAAAAATCTTATATATGTTTCGCAAAGATCTATTCTATATTCGGGATGTGCCTTTAGTCAAGTGGTTAAGTTCATTTGACTCCGCCTTCCCACCGGAGTTCGACTCCACTAAGTCGCGTTACCCCGCGTAGTAGGAATGACTATGGATCGGGCCTTGTCGATCCAAAGATGTCAAAAAAAAAAAAGATCTACTCTATATTCAAATTTAATATATAGTGACATCGAATTACAATGTATATATGATATATATTTAAAGCATAATTTAGATCTTGGTAAATTGGTAATTAAGATCTCATATAACTTATATAGTTCATGGTTAATGTCAACTATTCAAGATAATTCAAAGGAAAAATTCAACTTCGCCATTAAAAAAAGAACGGACCAATTATTATTTTTTGTCAAAAATATTCCATATTGGATCGAGATATGAATTAATTTACTCACTATCAACTGATTTTTTTAGATGAAAATCTATGTAGTTTTACATTTTTGAATGAGCTAATTTATTACAAATTTTCTTTTTATTTTGTATTGTATGTCTAATTCTATTTCGCAGTTGTTACACGAGACTCCTCATAGATAAGTTTTAATTTAAGCGTGAAACAAAGGCCATTGTAAGTGGAGGATGATAAAGGAATTAAGTACGTCGCAAGCCGATCCATCGTTTTCATGGAGAATTGAGAATTAAAAGAAAGAAACAAAACAAAATTACTACAATATGTGGTGGGAAATAAATAGTATACAAATAACACAAAAACGTTAAACGCTAGGTGTCATGATTTTTGTGGTGTGGATAAATTCCATTTTAGGCAGAAGAAGCACCTGTTGGCTGTTGCTGCGGCTGCGATTCGGAGCCGCGTCAAATATTGCCTGTTTATATTCCGGGACAACAACCGTCTCTCCTTATTTGACCAGAGTCCTTCTGTTTAATTTTTGTTTTCTTTCTTTTTTGATAAACAGAAATAATTAGGGGCCAAAATACTTATGATATGTGTAATTCCAAAAGACCTAGCTTTGATCACTTAAACAAGCCATGCCTAGCCAATTGGCTGTTTTATAAGAAATTAAGAATAACATTTTCGCCTTTAATTTAGATAAATAGAACATTTGTTCTAATTATGTGAATCATGCGATTAATAATTATCTCAATCAAGACCAATATTATAATTCTATACTTTCTCTGTCTCTAAACGATGTATTTGTTGCTTATAAATATATTATTTTTTGTAATTTACAATTTTCTATAACTCTAAACCAACAATATTCAATTATTCTTTTGAAGTTTACAATTCATTAATAATAACCAATAAATATTGCATATAAAACTTAAAAAAAATCTATCTTTTTGTAACAATTTTTTCTGAAAAATAGATTAATAAAGAACAGAAGAAGTATATCGTTGTGGTCGCTTTTTAACGAAAAATATTAGGAATAAAATATTATAAGTGAATTTAGACGAATACAAGTTGGGACAATTTAATCCATGTAAAGATTAATATTTTGTATGGCATCAATCTTACAACTTGTCTAGACAACTAATGTTCAACAATATATAGTTTTTGATACTGCAAAATTTGTTTATGTGAAGTTACAGAATTTGTAGGAGTTAAATTGTTAACGTTACAATACTATATATAGTTGATTCACGTGTTTATAGGCAACATATCAAATTAACATGTTTGCTTTGCATATAAAAATTGTTCAAGAAATAAGCCAAGTCATAGACAAATTTGGAGCTAGGGGAGATTCGGTAGGTACAAGCTATACAAAACTTATTCAAGTAATTAACAACTAAAATAAATAATCGTTAACCACGTGTGATTCCACTTCAACTTCTGACTAAGGAACGGAAAGGCATACCAAGTTTCCTCAATTAGGCTCAACTTTTCAGAGGTAAAGGATTTAGTATGTGCAAAATAAAGTATAGATTCACAAGTTGATATATAAAATCTTTTCAATTACATGGTTACTCAAGGTAAATAAATTAGTTTTGGAAGGGTCCGAAGAGATTAATTACTAAAGCAACATGGAGTTTCATGTGTTTGCAACCGTTACAAACACTCAACAGTTAGTTAGAACCTTATAAGGAATTAAAATAACATTAATGACATAGTGTCAAAAATGAAGAAGAAGAAGAAGAAGAAGCATGATATTTTCTGCCGACTAAAGTATTGTGACCATTTGTTGTTGCTGAATCGTCATCTCCAACTCCTAACGTTAGGCACGTTCTTGAAAAATATCCCATAACGCAAATTCTAGATTAATCCCAGTAAAGTAAACTTGAAAATTTATAATATATAGTTTTGAATTTAAAGGAAAATGTGACATGGCAGTGAGGAGAAAGTAACTAACCCATCCTCCAAATGGACAAATGTCAGCAGAGCCATACATTTATAAAGTATTTTAATGATTAAGGGGACGATGATGATGTCATCAGTAGTTGAGTTGGGGGTAGAATAGGTAATTAACGATATATGTGATTGAAAGTGGAAACGTAAGCTTTCTGGCTTTTGTGTCCTCTCTGAGTCTCTGTGTCGGGACAAGACGTGCATCAGAATCACACATCCGTGATCGGTGCTTTAATTTATCCTCTTCTTCTGTCCTTTTTTTTTTAACTTCACGATTAGATTACACAAATTGATTTATTTTAAAAAATTTACACAAATTGATGTGAACTACAGTTTATACGCTGAATGATAATTATATGTAGTAGATAATACAAATTAATCAAATTAATTATAAAACGGTCATAGTCTAATGGTTTATGATCATTTCGTCAATGTTTTATCACTTATAACTCAAATTCAAATTTGGACAAAAAATTAATTATAGAGCTAGTCGAATTTTGATGATTTTATTTACTTAGTGACATTTATTATTTCCAACGTTAATTTAAATCAGAAGTATATCGAATCGAACTAAGTTAAAATTTTACTAAAAAGATCAAGAATATGTTTTTTAGAAATGGATATTTTAAGTCTTAACTATCGTATCGTCCATAGTTTATATTTGGCCTTTAATAGCTGGCGTCAATTACAATCATAATCTTATAAGACTGATTAAGATAGATGATAACTTTTCACCGGGTGATATATTCCTATAGTAAATTCAACGCTTTTGAATAATTTATTTACCATACACACACTTCGCTCAAAATCACTATAAAAAATCCCTATAAAAAGAAGAAACCACCATAGCACTTCTCCTCATTCCTCACTTCCAACCGCCAAAGGAAAAAACAAAAACTCCAACAAAAAAAAAAAAACTTCCCAAACCCTACCCGAGAGGTCTTCAAATGGGTACGGAGGACTACACATTCCCTCAAGGAGCGGAGGAGCTGCACCGCCACCACCACACGGTGGAGGCTCCACAGCCTCAGCCGTTCTTGAAGTCACTTCAGTACTCAGTGAAGGAAACTCTGTTTCCGGACGACCCTTTTAGACAATTTAAGAACCAGACAGCATCAAGAAAAGTTGTATTAGGCCTCAAATACTTCCTCCCGATTTTCGAATGGGCTCCACGCTATAATCTTAAGTTCTTCAAATCAGATCTCATCGCCGGAATCACCATCGCTAGTCTCGCCATCCCTCAGGGCATCAGTTACGCCAAACTTGCTAACTTGCCCCCAATTCTTGGCCTTTGTAAGCGTTATACATCTTTTTTTAATTATTTTTTCCTTCATAATTAACCGGTTTTCTGTATTTCTTTTTTGTTGAAGTAGCGTTTGTGATACAACGAAACTCTTGATAGATTTGTACTTATTGTACTGTTTCTGCGTTTAGATTCGAGTTTTGTACCGCCATTGGTGTACGCGGTGCTAGGGAGTTCAAGGGATTTAGCGGTGGGAACGGTTGCGGTTGCGTCTCTTTTGACAGGTGCCATGCTGAGCAAAGAAGTCGATGCTGAGAAAGATCCTAAGCTTTACGTTCACCTTGCTTTTACAGCCACTTTTTTCGCCGGCGTTTTCGAAGCCTCTCTTGGAATTTTCAGGTTCTTTTTTACTTTATTCTCCTTAGTTAATTTTTGTCCATTTTATATGGTTTTACTTACATAATATTGTGAGTTATATATTCGGCTCAATGCATGTGGAAAAAGATTCCGGCATAAAAAATATCTACCAAATAGTAACTTTTTCTTACTTTTTTTTTTTTTTTTTTTTTTGTATTTCTTACCTTGATTTCTTACTAAGACTGAGTGAAATGCGTCATCGCGAGTTACGTCACGTGAAACAAGATATAGTTGCTGACAATCGGGCCAATAGGGACAAAGCTAGATAACTATAGAAAATCTTACGGTAATATAATTACTTGACTGGTATGATCGGTTTAATAAGTATATACTAGAATAATGTAATTACTTTACTCGTAATAAGATCGGTTTAATAATATTTGCTTATAATCTTAGTATGATTTATTCAAAAGCAAATGAGAGATCATTTCTGTGACGTATAGATATTTAGTATATAATAGGTAGAATCTTTCATTGGCTCCACAAAATTTCGGTATATCTGGCCAGAACTGGATTAGGGCCTAGGGGTATTAACTAAGGTTGGTGAGTTTGATTATGATATGAGTTAATAATGCAAACTGATTATTTGATTGTTTAGTAGCTACACGTACATAATTAAATTAAGAGAAAAAAATAATGAAAATGAAATTGCAGGTTAGGGTTCATAGTGGACTTTCTATCGCATGCAACAATAGTAGGATTCATGGGAGGAGCAGCGACGGTGGTGAGTCTGCAACAGCTTAAGGGTATTTTCGGACTTAAACATTTCACAGACGCCACTGATGTTATCTCCGTCATGCGTTCCGTTTTCTCCCAAACTCACCAGGTGTCTCTCATTTCCGTTATGTTCGTATTATCATTAATTTTCTAATACATCCAAAATATCATTCTCAATGTCGATGATTGTTCTCCTAATTAACGTAACGATATTATTACTAAACAATAAACATGTGTTTCTGTTTGTTTGTTTGTTTTTGTTGTGTAGTGGAGATGGGAGAGTGGCGTTCTCGGCTGTGGTTTCCTTTTCTTTCTTCTCTCCACCAGATATTTCGTAAGATTATAATTCTCTATCTTTATATAAATATCATCTAAATAAGGGACATATTAATATCATTTATTTCCACTAGCACACGCTACAATGATCTTTCATATAATTCCATTACTTTATATACTCTTCGTCTTTATCAATCTTTTCCTTGAAAGAATAAGAAGTATACGATGGAGTGAAAATGTAAATAACTAGAAAATCAAAACGTTATAAATTGTGTTTAATTACGAATTGATGATGCAGAGCACGAAGAAACCAAAATTCTTTTGGGTGGCGGCGATGGCTCCTTTGACCTCAGTGATTCTTGGAAGTCTCTTGGTTTACTTCACTCACGCTGAGAGACATGGTGTTCAAGTGGTATTTTTCGATCTCTCTCAATCGGATCTATTATCTTATAATAAATAATGAAATATATAAGTTATTTTCAGTCAAGACCATGGAGATAACGTGTATGAATTTCACCGAATCTTAAGAACATTATATTTTTTAAGAAAAGGAAAAAATAGTTAGGTAGAATATTATGGTTAGAAAAGAACAAGAAGCATGAAGTTGAAGTGATAAAGGAATTCTATGAAAAAACAAGTGGGCTCATGGGCTTTTTGTAGTTTTGTCCGAAAGGGAGAGGAATTATCGAATAAAGAAAGGTGTACTCATTGTGCAGATAGGGAACTTGAAGAAAGGATTGAATCCACTCTCCGGTTCTGATCTCATCTTTACTTCGCCTTATATGTCGACAGCTGTCAAGACTGGTCTCATCACTGGCATCATAGCTCTCGCTGTAAGTCGCTTTTCTCTTTATCCTAACCTTTATACAAATTAAGTTAGATATGTTAGTTATTATGGTATGAAACTAGAGATAATTAGTTGCAAGTATTGAACGTAACGTGAGAAATTTGAAGATTGAGAGTAGTAGTCAAGAGATACAAATAAACACTCACCAAAACCAAAAAAAATCCTATAAAATGTAGGAAGGAATAGCTGTAGGGAGGAGTTTTGCGATGTTCAAGAACTACAACATAGACGGAAACAAAGAGATGATAGCGTTTGGAATGATGAACATTGTTGGTTCCTTCACATCTTGTTACCTCACAACGGGTAAGTGCTCACACACACATAATCACATATGATTCTATAATATCACATTAGTTACATTAACTATAAATGAAAAACCTTATAATATTAATTACGACGTACGATATACTATCAGGGCCATTTTCAAGGTCGGCCGTGAACTACAACGCGGGTTGCAAGACGGCAATGTCCAACATAGTGATGGCGATTGCGGTTATGTTCACACTCCTCTTCCTCACGCCCCTTTTTCACTATACACCACTCGTCGTCCTCTCTGCCATCATCATAGCCGCAATGCTCGGACTCATTGACTATCAAGCTGCCATCCATCTATGGAAAGTTGACAAGTTCGACTTCCTCGTCTGCATGAGCGCCTACGTTGGGGTCGTGTTCGGCAGTGTAGAGATTGGACTCATTGTCGCAGTAAGTATATACTTTAGTGCAGAAATTACCTAGATTTTTTTTTCTATTTGCGTTTGGCATTTACTGATTTACACTTCCAATTTACGAAATAATTTATAAAAGTGATTTTTTATACATTTTAAAATGTGATTTATTTTTCGTGGTGATGAAGGTGGCGATATCGATAGCGAGGTTGTTGCTGTTTGTGTCGAGGCCAAGAACCGCAGTGAAGGGGAACATACCAAACAGCATGATCTATAGGAACACTGAGCAGTACCCTTCCTCAAGAACTGTCCCTGGTATTCTTATCTTGGAGATTGATGCTCCCATCTACTTTGCCAACGCCAGTTACTTGCGTGAAAGGTAACTTAATCGTCATTCGTATATACATGCCAAATATCAAGGATTGGTTTTGAATTATGTTTCCAATACACTTACAGGATCATAAGGTGGATTGATGAAGAGGAAGAGAGAGTCAAACAATCAGGAGAAAGCAGTTTACAATATATTATACTCGATATGTCAGGTAATGATATGATCTTCATTTTCTCTGACACTAGCTAATGCTGTTTTCATTGGAAGCTTACTTTGTGTGTGTTTATTGAACAAATCAGCTGTTGGTAATATCGACACCAGCGGTATAAGCATGATGGAGGAAATAAAAAAAGTCATCGACCGAAGAGCGTTAAAGGTAACGCAGTACATGTATAATCCATTTTAGGATATGTTAAGCGTTTCTTCATATTAATATTCTTTTGTTCTTTTTTAATCTTCAGTTGGTATTGGCAAATCCAAAAGGAGAGGTGGTGAAGAAATTAACCAGATCCAAATTCATCGGTGATCATTTGGGCAAAGAGTGGATGTTCTTAACAGTAGGAGAAGCTGTGGAGGCTTGTAGCTACATGCTTCACACGTTTAAAACCGAACCGGCTTCCAAAAACGAGCCTTGGAACAACGTATAGTTCGTTATTAACTAGTTCGATGTGAACTAAAGTATAAAAAATGAAACTCATTTTGTAATATTGATGATGAGTCACATGCAATATATATGTACTCTTATTGACTATTGTAGTGAGTGTTCTGGATGTTTAAGGAACTTGAAAGAAATTGGTTCTGAATTCGACCAAATTTAGTTCATTGTTACAAATATCGGTTATTTAACAATGAACCAACTTTGATGTATGTTAAAAAGGCCACAAAACAAATCTCTTATCCCTTTCTGTTGATAAAAGCCCATCAGGCTAGAACATTCAAGCAAGGAATCTGACGATAATAATCGTGTACGTCAAGGTCCACCATAGGGATGCTTCTTTGCTCCATCTAAAACATGACACGTAAGCGTACAATCAGATTAGCGGCAGATTCACGATACACACGATGTATCTTTCTCATTGATTTCGTGTCTTTACTCTCCAACCAATTATAAAACGCCACGTAGTTCTTTAGAGAAGAATTCGTCCTTACGAAACCAGTGTGGACACAAAGCAGAGCAAAGAAGACTTTTGTGAGAAAAAAAACAGAACTCAAGAGATGTCGTCAACCTTGAGCAACGAAGAGTCAGGACTCGGTGATTCAAATCGTTCGACGGAAGTAGATGGTGGCGACGGAGGAAACTTCACGGCTTACGAGTCTCGATTCCAGTCGCAGCGGTTTGACTCGTCCTTCTCGAATTTTGACTCCCAACCGGAGAAAGAGTCAGACTTACTAGGCGACGATTCGTCTCCTCCATCTAACCAGAAGGAAGTACCGGAAACTCAATCTCCGCCATTGATAAACAGTTCCGATGCTACGAACGGTTCGATCTTGCCTCCTCCATCGGCCATGGAGAAAGAGGAAGGTTTTGCTCTTAGAGAGTGGCGAAGGTAAAAAGCTTTCTTTGTGCATGCAGCTTTTTGATCCTTTACTTGATTCACCACTCTGTTTTCGTTAGTATATTATATAATCTTTGAATTGTCGATTCGATTTCTAGAGATTTTCACGAATCTTGGATTTGCTTAAAACCTTAATTTAGCAACTCTGTCTAATTATCCATTGACCTAGTCTTAACTCCAAACGTTGACCAAATATTGGTCCATGGAATCTTTTAGTTTGTTTAAGATAGTAAATTACACAGAGAACATTGGTTGTGTAGTCCATGTGATTGTGGTTGATTTGATTATGTCTATTGAATAGCTTATATGAAGAGTTTTGTTGTGTTTGTTTCAAGGCTAAATGCTCTGAGACTGGAAGAGAAAGAAAAGGAAGAGAAAGAAATGGTTCAGCAAATTTTGGAAACAGCAGAGCAATACAAGGCTGAGTTCTATAGCAAGCGTAACGTTACTATTGAAAACAACAAGAAATTAAACCGCGAGAAAGAGAAGGTAATTTTGTCTTTGTAATCTTGCTTTTGTCATTCAAGATTGTTGTTGGTCCAAGAAACACTGAATTCTTAGGCTTATCATTCAAGATTTGTGCCTGTTTTATATTACCAGTTGTTTTTGGAGAATCAAGAAAAGTTTTACGCTGAAGCTGACAAAAACAATTGGAAGGCGATTGCGGAACTCATTCCTCGTGAAGTACCGGTTATAGAGAATAGAGGGAATAAGAAGAAAACAACAACCATAACTGTGATCCAGGGACCAAAGCCAGGGAAGCCCACTGATCTGTCTCGTATGCGTCAAGTGCTCACGAAGCTCAAGCACAATCCGCCAACTCATATGAAGCCAAAATTGCCCTCACCATCTGGAGCTGACCCGAATGTGAGTGAAAAGGTCACAGATACAGAGAAGTTGTAGTTTTTGTTTGTGACAATTTTACTTCTTCTTTATTTGTTGAAAACCGTCTTTACTTTGTTAGCTTCCCTTATGTTCAGTCTCGAATTTTGTTTGTTTTGGTTTCGTATTTGGTCTTACCATTGTTGGTTTCCCACACAGTTTTCAACTTTGATGTATATATTCAATAAAACATGCTAGAAGAACTATCAGTTCCAGTACGTAGACCAAATAATATAATGCAAGCAAAAGTTCCTTTATTCACAACATATTTTTCAGCGGTATCAATTTGGTTTGATTTCGTATAAGCTCATTTAGATAGAAACATGATTCTTGTGATATATCATTTAGTTTTGAGCAACAAAATCATTGGTTAAGTGCATCTAGTTAAGTGGTTAAATAGCTCCGATTGGTAACCATTTTTGAGGAAAATAATGAGTAGAATGTCTTCCTCCTCAATTTTTTTTTCCGATTTTCAGACATGTGGGTCGGGTCAGGCCTTGTCGATGCAAATGACTTGTCAGAGGAGGAAAAAAAATCCTTAATTATTTCTCCTAGCTATTGATTAAAGTCTGGCCCATAATATGCCCAACAATATGTTTATAAAGTCAGGCCCATATTAGACCCACACAGCACGTGACTTTAGCCGCATCCTTATCGTATCTTGTTTCATTTGGCGGCAACCGTTTGATCGCAACCGTTCAAATCAACGACCTTCCTTCACATAACCGGCTATAGCAGGTAAAAGCACCTGGGATTTACTTGACTCTTCCTATTTCTTAACCGGCGATCGCCAATCCTAGGTTTAACAGGTAACCGGTAATAAGCATCTCTTTCTTTTTTTCTCCTTGAGGCCTCATCTCTTACTCTCTCTCTGATCGTCTTTTTCCTTTGATTCTACTTTTTCCGCTAGGTTTCTGAGATCTTCCATTCGTCTCGAATTCTCTTTAGGTATTGGATTTTGTTTCCGAATCTCTTCGGAATTTTTGTTGTTGTTCCGAATTGGTTTCTGCGTTTTTCTCTTTTTGGGAGAATCTGGAGCTTAGCTTGATTGATTTGAGTTTTTTTTTTCCTCTCGATTTCAATCGAAACTAGTTGTTTAAGCTAAGGATTTAGTACTTTTTGAGCTTCGAATCTGTTGTTTTCCTCTCATCTATTGATTCTGTTCTATGTTGAATGCTATGACATATTCTCTAAAATCTGTGAAATTGATTATTATACTAAGAAATTGATTTTGTTGGTTGATTCTATAGTTGCTACGATGAAGACAGCAAAGGGGAAAGATAAAGTTAAGACCACAAAAGAAGCCTTGAAGCCAGTTGATGACAGGTTAATCCTTTATCTCTCTGCAACTTATACAGTAATAATGAGAAATTATGGCCATTGAGAAAGGTATAGCTTCTTGCTGAATCAGATTTTTAGTCTCTTTGCAAATCTGGCTTAGCTTCAGCTATAATTGAAACAGTTAGTGATCATCATACTTGGAGGCGTTGTTGACTTGGTAGCTTAGGTTGGACAGACTAGTTTTAACATTATTGCTTGTGATTTGGTCTCAGATACTTGACAAAAGCTTTTGTTTCTGTTTAATTTTCAGAAAGGTGGGAAAGAGGAAGGCACCGGCTGAGAAGGCTACAAAACGAGAGACTCGTAAAGAGAAGAAGGCTAAAAAAGACCCAAACAAACCGAAAAGAGCTCCTAGTGCCTTCTTTGTCTTTCTGTAAGTTTTGTGTATGATTTCCCTCAAGGAGATTTCCACTTGTATTGTTGAATTTTCTATAAAATCTTACTGATTTTTTTGTTTCTTTGTTTCAGAGAAGATTTTAGGGTCACGTTCAAGAAAGAAAATCCAAATGTGAAGGCCGTCTCTGCGGTAAGCATTTGGCAGATTCCTTGATATTTTACTTGTACTTAGTCTTTATTAGGTGAAGTCCTCATGGTCTTACCTTCTCTTTTCCTTGTGAAGGTTGGGAAAGCTGGAGGACAGAAATGGAAGTCAATGTCTCAAGCTGTAAGTATCTTTGAAACTTCCCTGTCTGATACTGTGAGGAAAATAGTGTGAGATTGACATGAGTTTCACTTCTTCCTTTGTAAAGGAAAAAGCTCCATATGAAGAGAAAGCTGCAAAGAGGAAAGCTGAATATGAGAAGCAAATGGATGCATACAACAAAAACATGGTATCCCCTAAGCCTTACCTCACATATACAAACTCGTACATGGCTAACTCTGATTTCCTTGCAATGGGGACAGGAGGAAGGGAGTGATGAATCTGAAAAGTCTAGATCTGAGGTGAATGATGAAGATGAAGCCAGTGGGGAGGTAACAATTTCACTAAACAAGATAAGAGTATCTCTATATAGTGTATTTTATACATGACCCATTTTCTTTTGTACTTGGTGTTTGCTTTCTGAAGATATATGTTTGGCTTAATGTTTCTCTCCAGGAAGAACTACTAGAGAAGGAAGCGGCAGGTGATGATGAAGAAGAAGAAGAGGATGATGACGATGATGATGACGACGAGGAAGAAGACTAAATCGGGGATAGAAATCAGATTTTGTATCTCAAGCTTAACTGCGGATCCTTAAGCAGAAGTAAGTATTCTGTAATTTGTGTGTCGAGAACTATAGATCTAAAATCGTGTGTTTTTTTGTTTTTCTTTTCCTAAGAAAGCGAAACAGTTGTTAGCATCTATCAGGATGTTTGGTTTCAGCTTTTTTCCACAACAAACAATGTACCAATGTCTGCTTTAGTGATCACCCAAACCAAAACACAAACTATGTACATGTTAAACTCTCCCAAATTATCTCCGGTCTCTTGACTCTTTAAGGTTCTTTTAAACTCCTTCAAACTTGTTGAATAGTAAAGAATTTCAGACGGAATTTTGCCGAATATACATATCGTTTCTCAAACATGAACTAGCTATGAAAAACCGAACTATGTTTCGCTCTAATAAAATAAACTTCTCAAATGTAAAACTAGCACTCGAGCATAAATATTCTAGCGGCTCCAAAATTTTCATGTGAAACAATTATATTTAAAAAATGAGGCTATTGAGCTTGGTCTCGATTCCGATTATCATCGTTGATCTTTTGAAGCTGCTTCTCACTTGTGGCGATAAGGCGTTTTACCATGTCGAAAGCTGTAAGCCTAATACTGCAAAACAAAACATAAACGGCAATGTGGGAATGAGATTCCCTAAGACCTCAACTTTAACGATAAGACATGTTCATAATTGTGTTTTGCATATACTAGTCCTACATAAAGAGAATCCTTGAGATATTATCAAAACATCAAACTGATATCACCAAAATCATAAAAAAAGTATACGATCCCAATTCTTATAACAATAGTTTGAGCTTCGTTTTGTAGATACATCTACACCTCAAGGCATAAATAATGCATGGAGAACGCTATTCCTATGTTTAAGAAGAGTCTAACCTGCTGTTTGGTAGAGTTTTCAATGCATTGGGTAAAAAGCCGCGGTACAAGCCTATAAGCCCATCACGGTCTATAATTCCTGCATAACCAGAATGTCAAGATGACTCAGTTCAAATTCCAAGTATTTTGCTCAATACACAACATGAATTGTAAGTAAATAGACCCGATATGATTTGGATGAAGATTTTGCTCTAATGAGTTGCATGATGATATATATTAACTTACCAGCAAATGCCTCCGGAATTGATTTGTATGGAGTTCCTCTCATTTGCATTTGTCGTCTCACAGTGTCTAGAGGGTAACATGTCAGTGTTGCAATACCAGCTGAAAGAACAGCTGTGAGTAGGGACGATTGCGCCTTCTGTCTATATTCCTCCGGTAAAGACTTCTTCACCCTGTTGCCAAAAGGATATTAATCCTGGTTCAATTTCTTTTTCCCTATAGGTACTTAAAACAGATAGAAAGAAAGTTGGGAAGACTCACAGATCGAAGATACAAAAGTTTACAGCAATGTATGGAGCTATCCCCACTAGAGAAGGTCCTAGACCGTAATAGAAAGATGTGATTCCTTCATCACGGAGCATACTCAAAGCAACCTGCAAGAGTTTACATTGCACAATGCCTTTTAATAAATGCATGAACATGAACGATATAATGAAAACCCATTTCACCTGAGACATTGTTCGATACCCAGGTTCGACAGCCAACCTCAATCGCAAAACATCTAGAGGGTATGTCAACTGCATAAAGAATCAAAATGTAAGAATCAGAATAAAAAAATAACATATCTATATACTTGGAGCAGTACATACTTTCACCAAGTTTTACTTGAAACCCGAAATAAAATGGGTTGAAGTAACTTTGATTAACGCTTTAACAGAAGGTAAACAACACAAAACAACTACATTTCAGTATATATAACGATTTAGTTTTCAAGTAGAGAGGGAGGAACTTATGCCTATTTTACAGATACTTGTGATGGAACCAATTGGATGAAAGAAGTAGATTCTACAAATAGATAGGTAATCTTAAGAATTTGTAAACCTTAAACTTGACAGTTAACTTACGCCTACAAGTGAATAAACCCGAAAACGGATAAACAAACTTAGCAAGCATTAAATATATCAAACCATAATTCCTTACCAAAGTAGATGTCATGCCAGCACAAGCACCAGCCGCAAGTCTTCCGATTACTGAGAGCTGATCATCTTTACCTTTGAACAAGTTCTGAATACAAAATACGGAAACATCAGTCAGATTTCAATACAAAAATCTTGCTTTAAGATGAATGCTGTCAAATTCAATACAGAGAACAAAAAAACTAATGCAATCAAGCAGAGTTTCCTGAGGGCAAGCTCCCGGTGGTTTATCTATCTAACTATAGACCAGAATCATCGTTCAATATGTCATTCCAGACATAACTTATCATCCCAGGGCAATGCTTGTTTTCTAGGACAAGTAGCTACAGAAGTTTCTGTGACTCTGTAGTGTTGTACAACCATAATTTTCATTTCTGTTTAACACATATTCCAAATAGCTAATAAGCTAGTGATGAGACAGACTCACCTTGTAACTCTCATAAGCCAAAAGCTGGACCGCACTGTAAGGTAACACTCTTATCACCTGATGTCACATTTTCAAACACAATTATCCAATAAGTCAAAGAGAAACCAAACACTTGATATAACAACCAAAGTCCAAACAAAACCTGAGGTAAATTTCCCTTCCAATAACCTTTCACTCCTTCTTCTTTAGCTATCAAAGTGATTGCCTGCAAAATTCAATTCCAATAACTCTTGCATCAGTTAAAACATGAAACAATAAGCTAAGAGTGAGCGAAAAAGGACACGAACATCGACACACAAACTTACCTCGATAAATCCTATCGCCTTCTTGGCAGTCTGATGTCCAAGTCGTATACCATGTGTCTGCAGATAAAACCATATTTAAATTAGAATCAAGAACAAACTCATGACAAAATAAACACTTGTCAAGGTTCATATCCATTTTCTGACAATTAAGCTATTACAAATAACCTAACTGACACTCTAATCATATTTTAATACATGACTAATCAGTTACTCTTGTTTGCTACTATGTAATAAGAAACAAATCACTACCACAATTATATATCATTCAACAGTTGTAGCCATTACTAATTGTTATATAACGTTACAATTTCGTTTGTTTTAAAATTACGGTAAATGAAATACAATCAACCTCAGAACAAAAGTATCAAAGGGCCAAAACCTGCATAAGAAGTTTGATACGGTCAAGAGGAGCAGTAACAGTTTTAGCGGCGGCTCCGGCAATAGCACCGGCGGCGAAGATAGCAGCATCTTTTGGAACAAGAGCAAGAATAGCAAGAGGATTGTTCAAGAGCTGAGCCGTCGTCGGAGCGAATTCTCTCTGCTCACCACATTTCTCCACCAGAGAAATGCACGCGAATCTACCTAAACCGAAATCTCCGCGAGGTGAATTTCGCAGGACACGGCGGCGAAAGTGAACGGTGCCGGATTTGGCCGGAGAAAAGGTTAGTAAGGAGGAATTGAGGGAAGGGATACGGTGAAAAGTGAGAATCGCTCTGTCTTCTTCCATGGTTTTAGAGAGGGAAGAAGAAGATAAGACCCCAAAGGTTTGTTTTCAAAAACAAAACTTTAAGAATTAAGAAAAAAATTCGATACTGGGTCCCACACTTTTCCTTAGAAACGAAATTTTAATTTTTGCTGAATTTGTGATGAATCTAACAAGAGTTTTTTTTTTTTAAAATGAGGTATAAATGGGCTTTTATTTCTTTGGGAAAAGTTTTTATGTTTCTCTTTTGTTACTCTGTCTCTTTGAATACTACTGATTGATGTCTTCACTGTAAAGGTAAAAGAATATAAGAAAATAGTCCACATTACTCGCAAGAACAAGTATAATAAACAAGATAAACTTAAAATGCCAACAACAAACAGAAAAAGAAAGCAAACAGAAATTAATGTGATCACTTTTCAAAACACCGAGAACCTGTCTTCATCAAGCTCCCTCCCTCATTTTCATGCTTGAGGAATCCTTCTGACAAAGTCTCTCTGTTTTGGATGACGAATCAATCAAATCATATTTGCTCATTTATGCCTTTTTTCAAGTCATTTGATGATTTTGTATCTCCATATTAAGCTGAAAAAACTTGTCCCAAATTGTTCATGGGTTGAAGTCCCACGTCTATACCATTTGGTTGATCTGTGAAACACAAGGATCATTATGTATTTTGGTCATCTTTCAGTGATAATTAAGTTATATTTGGGATTGTTGTTCGATTACTTACGTTGGGGAATTTGGTCGAAGAAGAAACAGGCCGCGATGATGACATAGCACAACAATAGAACCAGTCCCTTCATGTAATGAGAAGTTCCATCCTATTTAACCAGCCCAAAAAACAAATTATGGTGATTAATTATAGGGATATGCTGGTCAGGTCAACCAAATTAAACTTGTGATTAAAGCAGAACGTTTACCTGTAAAGTGAAGGCTGTGATGATAATGGCCAAAGCTAGAGAGCTAGTTTCAAGGATGTTGAAGTTGAGATCCATTTTTATTCCTAGGATCCACGCAACGATAACACTCAATGGGACCTGAGGAAACACACACATTAACATTGCCTTAGATTTCTTATATTGCACGCAACATTTGTAGAATCTTTCAGAGTATAACATAATATAAAAGGCGAAGAAGAACTTACCACGAACAAAGAAATCTGAGTTGCAGAGCCCAACGCAACCCCTAGAGATATGTCCTGTAATTATAACAATTCCACATAAAGAGATTTCAGGCAGGGTTACATATTGAAGTTGTATAAGATGTTTTTGCAACAAATAAATTTTGTTCACAATGCTAAATATCGTGGGTTCATGTGGAAGAAATGCACACTAAACATAAAACCAAGCACAAACAAAGAATACTTGTAAAGCAAGAAAAAAGGGATCAAACTTACGAGCTTGTTCTTGAATGCGAAAATGATGGCTCCAGCGTGCTCAGCCGCGTTCCCAACAATGGGAAGCAATATGATGCTTATGAAACTCACTGATAGTCCCCATGAGTCCGATGCATCCTGACCAAGATGAAACCTCCATATTAATATTGTGAGTTTTTTTTGTTTCATTTTGGGGTTTAAACGTATATCGACATAAGTAATTACCTCGATCGTGGCCACAACATACTCTGATAGCAATGCGATGAGGATTGTCATCCCAACGAGCCAAGCAAATCCGCTCCAGAATCCTATCACTGGAGTTTCTTCAACTGTAACCTCATCATCATATGCATCATCATCATCATCCTGGATACCAACAAAATTGATTATATATAGTTACATTATTATTCGCATTAATTCTACTTGTCGAGTAAATAAACATACTGTAACTCTTAGATACCTCTTGTGCCTCAAAAAATTGGCGGTGAGTCCAGAGCTGGAAGATGAGATAAGCAATGTAAGCAATAAGCATAACTATGCTGCTTGTCCGCGAGAGACTGAGCGACATTTTGTTAATCAGAGAGGTCGATGCTTCACCGGTTGCTGCATATTTTAACAATAATGGCAGCAAATGGCACAACAGACCCATAAGCAGCAAGAAGAAGTTCACATCGGCTTGTTTCTGTAACAATCAAGAAGAGAAATATCACATAACCATCTTTGATTACCGGTATGATTTTTATATCCGGTTCAAGTCAACACAACCTGAAATTACTCAAGGGTTACTAACCGGTTTGGTTATACTAAATTTGGTATTGGTTTGGTTTGGTTCAGAATGCAACTTTTGTATCCATGTTTCCCGGTTTGGTTATGTCAAATTACCATAAAAATTAATTAAAACTAAAACCGGAGTGTAGTAAAGGGTGGGTGTATATGTACCCGGTCGAACCGCTGCTGGCGGCGGATATTGGCGATACCACCAAAGAAGAGGGAAGTGCCAAGAACCAAGAGAAGGTTTGAGAGAATTGAACCCAATAGAGAGTATTTCACCACTGCCACTTTGTTATTGGCCAACGCTAGTATCGCGATTATCAGCTCCGTTGCGTTTCCACAAGTCGCGTTCAACAAACCTCCCACTGCCAAAGTAAACATTAGTTAGGTGATGTTATTTGATTAGAGATTTGATTCGGAGATCATATGATTAATAATATTGTTTAGTATGAAAACGTTACCTGTTGGACCAGTGTAGAAAGCTAGTTGCCTGCAAGGGTTAAAAGCACTACAAGAAAATTGAGTATTCTTAGCGGCCAAATAACGCTATCTAACGAAACGATAGCGAAGTAGAAAGCGCTATATCTTCGCCCATGATAATAGGTCGACGGTTTTCGATAGCGTTTTTTTGTATTGCTATATTTTATTTATATATTATAGCGTATTCTTTTATGCAATGTAATATTTTTTAATAGCAAGTATATTTTGTTATTAATTATCAAATTACAGCATTTATTATATGCAATTTAATCAATTAGAATAGCATTTATAATATGCAATTTATTTAATTAAAATAGCATTTATAATATGCAATTTTATTCCACTAAAATAGCATTTGTATTATACATTATTTCGATTTATCAATTTTTTTATTATATTTAATTTTAATTTATTAGGTTTTTTTGGATAAATTGACATATTAAAATTTCAATATTTTATTATATTATATGAAATCATAATACAAATAGTATATTACAAAGTATAAATACAAAATTTTAAAAGTAAAAGTACAAAGATTAATAGATTAATACAAATCCTATACTAATATCGTAAGTGCTGCCAAGTATTAAAACAAAATAAAACTAACAAAGATAGAGACAAACTTCATGAGGCCAGCTAGCTTAAAATAGTAAAAGCAAGCAACTTTTAGAGGTGAAGGAAAGAGACGAACTTCTTGAAGCCTAACTAGCTTTCTCCTGTTCCTCTCCCCATGCTCAAGTTGATTAAGGTCTCCAAGAACTGCATCTATCAGGGTTGCATAAATGAGATGATTAAGGTCTCCAACTGAACAAAACACCAAAGCTCATTACATAAGTGAAAACAATCAACAGCTAATCAAGCAATACATCAAAAATGTTGAATAATCTTAGTCACATCACATGTATGATGTATCTTAGTGTTCCATGTTTCCTACTTTATAGCCTCACATTCTTAGACAAGACAACAATGTGATAAGAATTGAAGATAGAGATGCTATAGGAGGATGCAAAGTTTACCTCAGACATGAGTTTCTTGAGAATCTCTTTCTTCTGTAGTTCGTCTCGTGTTAGGTCAAGGTCATCTAATTTACTGGTCTTTGGTCACCTTTTGATCCTTTGCAAAATATCACATTGAACACTATAAAACAATTAGCACTCTTGTTTATCACCGATGAAAGTCAATTTATAGATAATTAAAATTTTACAAAATTTAGCATAATGATAAAACTTTGGTGATAATCATAAAACCCAAATCAAGTACTTACATATTTAAGCATAATGATAAAACTTTATCTATATTCCCTGCAATTATGTGTATCATCATCAACTTAAAGCTTATGTTTCCGACTTCTTTGTCATTAGAGTTCAAGAGTATACATACCTTTACTCCAAGTTCCATCTTGTAGAAGTTTTTTTACCATGAATAGCCTGAATTAAAAGAAGAACATTGAAAGAGTTGCATAGCCTATACGTCATAACCTTTTTCACAATTGAAAAAGACATTTTCTTTTACGTAGAGTCTTAAAGAGATTGTCACACTAAGAAAGACAAATCACGAAACAATTAAAATGACTAAATGCACGAACCTGGCTTTTCCTCTGTTGAATCTCCATCTCTCAGCCACCAACATTCTTCCTTAGCGAAAATTGAACCAAAACCAAGTTAGTTACTTTAATATTCTTGGTTTCCGTCTCACAGTCAAATCGTCGAACACCTTGTGTGCACAAAGAACTCTAAAACAGAACCCCTAAGATTTATTACAATACCTTCTCCATGAGGTAGAACACAAATCTCCAAAAAGGTTTGAATTTCCTCTTAACAAAATTAGGCTAAAATCAAACCTTTGCAACTTGCTCGGCTCATCATCGTTCCACACCGCAAGATTAATGTGACGTGGCACCAACCTAGTCTTCTTGTTATCCCTCGCTGCGTTTCCAACCAATTCCAAAACCTAGACAAATCCAATATCCCAAAAACAAACAGGTTAAAAATTAGGGTTTTATGAAATTGAAGATTGAAAGAACTGAGAACGAAGGGGATAATTAGAGTTTTTAACCAACTTTTCAATTTCAATTGATACGCCTTGCAAAATTAGGGTAATGATAAGTAAAAGTGACGGAAGAAGCTAGAGAGAGAGAGAGAGAGATAGAAGGAAACAAAGGAAGCGAGAAAAGGAAAAGACAAAGTAGAAGAATGAGAGGAAGGAAAATGAGATGAGAGATCTAAAGAAGAAGAAGATGTGAAGGTGAAATGAAGAGCTGGAGTTGCAAGTGTCAACGAAGGAGGAGAGATGCACGACGGAGAAGACGATGAGGAGAATCCATATGTGAGAGTGAATAAAGGATTAATCGATTTGAGCTCACTGGCGGCTTAAGTGAATAATTTTTGCTAAGTGTTGACGGAATAGGTCATTTTTGTTTTCCGCTTAAAGATTTTCGGTCTTAGCATTTATCAGGTGCTATTAAAAAGTAACCAAAATCACGAGCTCATCTATTATAGCAGTTCATGAAAATGCGCTATCGTCTAGTGCTATCAATATGGACTTTTTTTGTAGTGATTCTATCATAGCGTTTGCTTTTTCGAAAACGCTATGTAAATTTTTCTAAAACTCAACTATAGCAGAACCGTTAAAAACGTTATACTATACTGCTATTAATACCTTCATTTCTTGTAGTGAAGGACAACAATCACGTTCTATTTCACATTATATTTTGAAACATGTGGTTACTGTTGATCATAATTAATCATTTTCATTTTGATTCATAATTGATCATTTAGTCAACACTACAAATTGTTAATTACTTATAAAATAAACTAAAACATACTAAACCAACACACTAATCTGTGAAAAATATTGACAAGACACCTGAAGAATACGAAATAATGAAATGTCGAAAAGAATAAATAGTAGTAATATACTATGAAAATATCTCATATTTACACATAAAAAATTTGTAAGATAAGACGATAATAACTTACTCTGTCAAAAAGCTAACTCGCTCAGCTAGAGGTGTCAGCCCTATCAAGCTCAGGCCAAATATCAACGGCTGTCACATTTGTTGTACACATTAGTCTTTATTTTTGACGAATATTTGGTAACGGATAATTACGTGGCATAAATGCACCAGTCTCGAAAAACACAATTCATTAATTTAGTACTGACAAAAAATAGTAATCAAACACGGGATTTATGCTTGTAGCAAGAGATATGATCAAGTGAATATATGTATCTAGGAAGTTTGCTTTAACGCAAGAAGAACAAGTATGATTTTGTACTTTGCTACTATTTTTAGGTATAGTGCAACTAAACTCTAAAAACTCCATCAAAGTTGTCTCAATTTTTAAATTTATTTTCTAAATCCATAAAATTGGTTGGGAAATTCGTATCCCCTTCAACTAAAATCCTAAAAGAAAGTCATTAGGAAACTGAACAAGAATTGCCTAATTTCTTTTTGATAATAAAATTGCCTAATTTATAACACTAGTACATACAGTACCAAACTTCTTCACCAACATACATAAAAGTAGAGAAAGAAAGACGAATTGAGAAGAGAACTTACACGACCGTAGTGGTAAGAATTGGCGAGAATGGCGAGAGGGATGGCGAGAAACAAGAGAGTAAGCTTAGTACCAAGAATGACTTCTTGAAGATTAGAGAGAATGTTCTTGAGAGTTTTGCATGGAACTTTCTGAATCAATCTCAGGTCTGATTTCTTTCTTAACGACGATGAAGACATGTTGTGTGCTGTTCTCCCATGTCGCAGCTCCCTGCTTAACCCTTTTGCGGTCGCGTTTGCGTTTCCGTTCTCGGCGATTGCCCATGGCTCCACGATACTTCCCATAGTTTTTAAGACGTACGTTTTGATTCTACTACATCTGTTTGTGTTGTGTCAGATTGGTTTATATATAGGTGGCGACTATGTCTATGTGTTATTGTTTTGATTTATGTTGGGTCCATCTATGTATGCAACTTCCCGGAAGTTTCCTCTCTTTTTTTTTTTTCCTGTTTTTTAAGAAATATTTTTTTTGGTAGGTTACGTTTTTGCTTAGGTTTGACGAAAATCAAATTTTGGTAGGTTTGTTTATATACGTATCTCTCATGCATTTATCCTCTCTATTTAGGGAAATTTGTATCGAGTCATCAACTAGTAATAAGTGAGATGGCACAAAACTCGAGGATAACGACTGTGGTTGTATTAAGAAAAGAATTAACGACTGTTGTTTGTATTTAGGAGAATACGAGTGATTCTACTGAAAATAAAAAGTTACAATTAAATAATACTAGTATTCACTTAAAAGTGAAAAAAATCAAGTTTTTTTTTAGATTAACACAAAACTATATAAATAATGTATTCATGTATATTTACGATATCTTCTAAGTTTTTGAACATTCAATTCACAATTTCGATTGGTAGCCAAAATATATCATCCTTTTGAACGACATTTTCTGGTTTATCAAGTGTTGTAGTCTATTTTTTAACGTAAAAATATTATTCATTTTTTGATGTGGATCTGATCTATAGACTAATAATAATTCTATTGTGCTTAAACATGGTAATTTGCAATCCTCGCTGACACGTGTATGGAAAATCTTTAATTTCCACTCTTTTTGTATAACTTGCCATTCTATATTGCATTTTATTTCTCACTGATATGTGCCTATGAAAATGTTGCCAACATTCCGATCTATTTCTCCTTTTCAACATTCCGATCTTTTGTTATATAGAAGGTCCAAATAAATATATGGTTTTCTGTTTGTGTTCATGTGAGTATATATCTCTCTGTTTACATTCTTCTCGTGCAAATGAATTTGAATGTATGTTAGGGATTACCTTTAAAGAATGGATCTATGATAGTATATAATAAGTTATGCTTAAAGCATGCTTAAACTGGCTCGAATTAGAAATTGTGATGATTTGACATACTTTTTAACTCAAGATCATTGAGTTTAATGATTTCTTTCACTTATGAGTTTGAGACTTTCACTTGCCTATGGCCTGTATCTGTATGAAGGATCTAATGAACTTGTAAATTTTTTTAAGATAACTATGATTAAAACTACATGTGTTGTTCTGGTTTGGTTTGATAGTTTCAAACTTAAGGTATAGTATTTGCTTGTCATTAATTGATCATGATTTAGTGGGTTACGTTTTAGGTAGGTATGATATGGCTATTTATTAGAAGAGAGGACAAGAAAAACAGAAGGTTGTGTTGTACACTACACGTGTACTTTGTGTATGGACTCTCAAAGTGTGGTAGCAGTAGCATCACTCGTTATCACTTTTGTTGTACCAAATCTGATTAACGCTTTGCCTTTGGCTTTTCAAAGCGGCAGCAGTTTTAGGAACAAGACCTAAAGGCGATAAGCGGCTGCTTGCTTTTTGGCCACTTTCTTTCATCCAAGTACACTAACAATTTGAAAGTTATATAAATTAATTTAATTATTAGTTTAAATATATTTCTAAAACTATATAATTAATTTTATGGCATTGGATCGATTTTTTTGAAAAATCTTGAAATCCAACTAGATGAACATGTTTTAGTCTAATTTATATTAAAACAAGGTGATTTAACTATGTATTTTGGCTTTAAGAGTTATAGATATTTTTTTTACAATTTTTTAAATATTTCTTGGTAATCACATATTGATTTCTTTGCCTAATCATATATTTAAATTTCTCAACTAAATCTGACTATAGAAGATAATATTTCTCTGATCAATCATCTATTTATGTTTGTGATGTAAGAACTTTTGTTTTCTTTTTTCCAAATCTGCATTGTAGTTAGAGATTTGACAAATGACAAGGGACATGGAATCAAAAGAGAATATCCACTATCACGGAGAGACCAAGAATGGGCCAATATTAGTCAATAATTGCAAAATCTCTACAAATCATAGAAGACGTGACTCCAAAACTTATGTAGTTGTAAATTGTAACTTGTTAGCAGATCATACCACGATGGCTCTTATCAACTCAAAATAGGTAATGGTTAGGGACAAAGATCTCGTAAATATCATCCAAAAATGATCCATCAAAATCTCACATATGCATGCGAGAATTCTACATAAAGAGGTGATCTTTCTCAAATAGAGACCTTCCTCCAAGTTTCTTATCTCACAAGCTTACAACGATAGCTTAGTTTTTGTCCAAAACACAACTTCAAATCATTATTTTATATGCCTTTCATCGATCGTTGCCCATACGTACATCAAACCGAGCCAAACGAGATATTGGGGAGACAATTCCTAAATGATTGAGAGAGTAGTGGAGCTTTTCCGGAATAATAATAATAACATAGTACACAACCATTCGTACAACTGTACAAAGTCACATGTGTCTTTGAGTTGAGTTGTGTTGTGTTGGCGTATCTGCATCTCATGGTGCCCACTTCAGTCTATATCTTGACTTCTTGTAACTCTGATCTCTTTTAAAAAAAAAAAACTTCTTGTAACCATCTTTCTTCTTTGTTTTCAATGATTTTAGTGAATAGTTTGTTTTATTCGGAGAGAAACAAAAGAACATATTGAGAATAATTAACTCAAGCTTGGAGTTTTTCTTTTTTGGTTTATGATTTTCACCTATAATTATTTTCAGCAATATAGATTATATAACCTGTATTCCAAAATCATAAATTGAATAACACTAAACTTTAACTTATAATTGTGAAATAGATTATGTCAATTAAAATATAAAAGTCATTGATTGAATAACACAACACTATAATTGGATTTCAAAATGCAATGCAAATATCCAATCCAATTAACTTTGTGAGTTCTCATTTTTTGTACCCAAAAAAAAACATTTTTATACCCTTTCTAGGTTTTATTGTAGTTTCTAGAGCAAACAGAGGGATTGGACTAAAGATTCTGCAGACACTTAGGTAGCAAAAGGATTAGGGTACTTTTGACTTCTGCAGACACTTGAAGTTGTAGACATGGCTTTTATAATCAAAACCTTGTCTGTCATCGGCTCCATGTGTTTAATTCTGTTAGTGTCACAACTCTTTACAAATTTGTGAAATTGGAAAACTTCGATATCTTGGTATGATTAGTACAATCCTTGATCTGCTTATTTGCTCTGAAGTAGGTTTTAGATTTAGCATACTCAAATCTTGTTGAAAAGGATTGGCACTAGCTAGGATGTTACTGTTAACCTTTGAAAAGAAAGAAAGTCCCTTTTGTGTGGTTAATTTGTTCCTATCAGATGAGAGTGATTGATCTCCAATAAAGAAAGGCTCATGAGAGTTGGTTAAGATTCTTGTATAACGTTGAGTGATAATTCAATAATGCAGGGATTGCTGGTTTAATCACTGATGTTGATGCTCAGAGCTGAGATGGGGAAAAGTAGGTACTAGGTAGCTTTCGTTTTTGATTTGAATCCAGCGTCATGATATATGTATGGATAATCTCTATAAATAAAATGCTGGAGATGACGTCCTTTAAGTATGGCTTATGACTTTTGGCTAATAAAACAAGAAACTCATAATCCCAACTCTAAATATGGGGTTTAACTCTAACATAAGGAAAACAAACAGGGTTATGTACCGTAATGATGTCGTCAATACATGTATTAGAGTCATTTGAATTACCTGTTTTGAGCAAATAAAGGTTGTGTAGGACTCATATCATTCATAGAGGTTAAGGAAGACAAAAGAATATTACAAAATCATTACCAGAAAATGGTCTTTTTTTTCCTTCTACACATCAAACACTGATTCTCATGTCTTTTGGATTTCTACCACAACAAACTAAACAAACACAACTCAGCCCATGAACCAATAATAAAAAAAGAAAAGAACACAAATAACATAATCACCAAAAATAGAAAGGTTAAAAACGAAAGATGTACAAAAAGATATGAATTCTGAATCCCAAGATTTACCTTCTCTTGGCTGAATACTTGACGTGAGCGAGGACGTGGCGTGAGAGACATAGACACTAAAAACCCTAATGCGGCTTCTTCACTCTGATTCATTATTCGTTGCCTAGGTTCAAAGATCCGTCCTTCATTAGCTTGATGCTTAGGCTATTGAATCTCCCTCTTGAGTAATGACGAGACGCCTTTCTCCAATCAGTTCCTGTTTTCATCATTGCCGCAAACTCTTCGTAGCTTATTCGCCCATCCTGAAGTCAAAATTCCATGTCAGGCATAACCAGAAGAAACATCTTTTACACTAGCTACAGTCTCTAAGGTTCTGTTTAACGATATGAGAAGTGAGCTCTCTACACATAGCATTTCCACTACAACATAGCAATCATTTGCCTTTAGTTTATGGGGACCGCTTACACAACAGACAAAGGCGAAAAAAGAAAACAGAAAAAGTGTTTAAAGCTACATGTTTTGTCCTCGCAGGCTTTAAGAACTTTTTGCAAAGCATGTTTCCATTACCTATGTGTAAGACTGTAAATTCAAATGGTTTGATTACTATCAAACAAATAGCGCAAAAAGAAGATTTAAAGTCACATCTCCTGTCCTTTGTGCCTTTTTAGGACTTCCCTCAAAACTTTGGTTTCCTAACACTCTTGTAAAAGAATGCTCTTTTGAACATGATATCATACCATAGATAGAAGATTTGACACTTACCTTGTCTGTGTCAACTTCTTGGAATATATCATTGGCGACATCCACACAGTCATCTCCTCCATCTTCCTTTAAGGCGTCACAAAGCTCCTGGGGTAAAATGTACCCATTTCCATCCTTGTCAAAGTATGAGAAGGCTTTGCGGAGATGCTCATCGTTTGCTACCTTTTGCAGGTGGAGAGAAACTGCAACAAATTCCCCATAGTCTAGAGTTCCTTTCCCTTTAGTATCCACCTGTTTTATACAAATTTGAATTATGAATACCATAATTTAGTGAACTTGGATAGTGAAC